CTGTGTTTTTTTGAATTTCAGTGGAAAGGATTGGGGAATCTCTCTGTCCATATAATATTGTATAAAAGTCTTAAAACATTTTTCTAGAACCATGTTTATCATAAAAATGTTTATATAATTATTTTGGACAATGATTTTTCATATTTCCTTAAAGCCACTGCCCCCAGCTATCCTTCCGCCCAAGGATAAACAAGGAATGATTTGTTTGAAATCACTGGAGTCATACCAGGTGAAACCAGTTCAAGTGAAGGAGGAATCAGTCCTCCTGGCTACAGGGAATAACACGTGTGCATAGGTTCAGTGTTTGAGGGGTAGCATCTGCTGATACACTACTCAAGAAAGTTAAGGAACAGGAAGAGATTACTTGGTTCAGTGTGCCAGCCTTGGATTGTGTTGGATTCTAATCCCACTATTTTACCTATTTGTGCTCATTGCTTGCATTCCTGGGCTGGTGGTCTCCTCCCAGACCAGTTTTCACCAATGTATCTCCACTGATATCAGGGTGGAAGGAGGCATTGCCTTTCATTGCCTTTGTGCTGATGTACATTTGTTTTATGGTGGCACACAGGCCAAGCAAACAGGTCTTCATACCATGTGTTGTACCACAAATTGTGGCCTCAGTGAAAGGGGTATCAATTTGTGCTGCTATTTAGAAATGGACACCTGTTTACTTTATGGCAGGAGAGCATCTGCAGCCTGGATCTGCCCATACTCTCCAGCCACCCTAGACAGATGCTTCTGTGGCTTGAGGGGCCCGATCCTGTGCACCCTGTGAATTCCCAGGCTAGATTGATCCCCTTAGGACAGAATGCCTGCATGGCTTCCCCTACCTATCGAGATGTATCTCTGGGATTGGTACAGGCTGGGGACCAACAGGCTAAGCAGCAACTCTGCAGAAAAAGGACCTGGGAGTTATAGTGGACAATAAGCTGAATATGAGTCAATAGTGTGCCCTTGCTGCCAAGAAGACTAACATGCAGCATGCTGGGCTGCATTTGTAGGAGCATTACCAGCAGATTGAGAGAAATGTTTATTTCCCTGTTTGACACTGGTGAGGCCACATCTGGAGTGCTGTGTCCAGTTTTGGACTGCCCACTGCAGAAAGGATGTGCACAAATTGGAGGGAGTCCAGCGGAGGGCAAAACAAATGGTTAGGGGGCTGGGGCACATGATTTATGAGGAGCAGCTGACTGGATTTATTTAGTTAGGAGAAGAGAAGGCTGAGGGAGATTTAATAGCAGCCTTCAACTACCTGAAGAATGGTGACAAAGAGGATGGAGCTTGACTGTTTTCAGTGGTGGCAGATGACAGAACCAGGAGAAATGGTCTCAAGTTGCAGCAAGGGAAATTTAGATTAGATCTCAGGAAAAACTCTCTCACTAGGAGGGTACTAAAATACTGCAACAGGTTACCCAGAGAAGTTGTGGACTCTCCATCCTTGGAGGTTTTTAAGACCTGGCTAGACAAAGCCTTTGCTGGGGTGATCTTTTGGGGGCTAGCCCTGCTTTGAGCAGGAGGTAGGACTAGATGACCTCCTGATGTCCCTTCCAACCATAAGTTTTTATGATTGTTCTGATCTCAGGGGTGCATCTTGGTCTGTGGGGAAAGTTGAGGTTTCTTCACTTACCAGGACATGCCCTAGACATCCCAGGCATGCATCTTGGTAAGCAGGGCAAGCCAGGCAGGCACTCCTGGGATTTCAAGGGCCCAGTCATGCATGGGAATTTCTGGGGTGCACAGGACCAGACTCTTCAAGCCCTGGGAAAACACATTGCCTATTGTCCCACAACATTAATGGTGACATGTGTTTCACTTAATGAAGCAGATCAGCTATGTTTGGATATATCCTGGCACAGCTGATCCTCGTCTTTTGTCAATGTCTATTTCTATCCCTAGAAAACTTTGGTTTACACTGCAGTGTGTGAGAGAAGAGCCAGCTCCATGTTTTTCATAGATCCAGATAAAAGATCAGTACCTATCACCTGTGGAAACTAAGTGGGAAGATGTCAAGGTATTATATTATAGTTCCACAGAACTGGGAGACTAAAATAGATTATATCATGATTGACAACATTTTCTAGCATAAGATTTGATTGTCTTATTAGCCAGGAAGAAAGGGAAAATGGGTCTTTATGTGGTAGCATATCTGAAGAGTCATAGAATTCATTTATTTATTATTTGTATTACAGCAGTAGCACAATTGAGACCAGGGCTTCATTAAATTAGGTGATGTAAAATAGTTCAGTTGGGATATGTCTGCACAACTAATTGGCAGTAAAGGATGATCTCTATTCCAAGTTTTTCAACACATATAGACAAGAGAGAAAGGAAGCCTTTTACAGATGGGGAACTGAGTCATAGAGACTCCACTAAGGGTGTTACCCAGCACTTATATAGGAACATAGGATTTAAAGGGACTTCCTGGGCCAATTCCAGTCCCCTTCATTCACAGGCAATTATTAACCCAAGGCATCCCCCAAAAAATCACCACTGCAAACCCTCACTTACAACTACCAAGAACAACTTTTGAAATGTCTAGAATAATCTATCACATACCTGCCACCCTAGTAAGGAATATACTCATGAAGTGCACTGATATTCTGAAGCATACTGGGGACAAAGATATCAAGAGCAGTAGCAGGGGAACCTCTGGAGAAGCTTTACAAGCTCATTTCCAGGACTGGCACAGATGAACATGAACGGGTTGGTGGAGCATGCTGGATGGCAATGCTTCCTGTGAACAGTGAGGCCATGGCGTAGATGCACTTGCAGTGTACACTACCCTGAGGCAGGAGGGTGTTCTAAATCTCTGAGAACATTCAAAGGAGTGAGACATGGCCACACCAGGACCCCACCAGGCCACCCTTCCCCAGCAGGATGCAGTTTTAGGTCATGCCCAGGACCAAGTGCCTCCAGCTCCTACCTGCTAGATGTTCCATGAAGCTCAGCCAGGCAATGTTTCTGCCTGGGCCGGCAGCAGCAACCTGCTCTGTTTATATAGGCAGCCAGCTTTCTAAAATGGCTGCTGCAGTCAAGCACCTGCTGGCTGCCTGACTCAGCCCTTAAAGTGGCAGGCACTTCAAGTGCACAGCCACAGGTTTCTTGCCATCAGTGTGTTTACTTGGCCCCATAGTTTTGTGTCATCTGAGAATTTGGACAGAGTGCTTTCCATGCCCTCATCCAGGTCACTGATGAAGATATTAAACAGCACCAGCCCAAGGACTGAGCCTTGGGGGACCCCACTGCTCACATCTTTCCAGGTCGATACCAACCTGTCCACCACCACTCTCTGGGTATGACCCTTAAGCCAATTTGCTACCCACATGACTGTGTAATGGTTTATGGCACAGCCGTTCAATTTGCTTATGAGAATAGGATGGGATACCATATTGAGGGCCCTCTTAAAGTCCAAGTAGATGACATCTACCTTGACTTCTGTATCTAAGCATTTAGTGACCTGGTCATAGAAAGAAACAAGGTTAGTCAGGCAGGATTTACCTGCTATGAACCTGTGCTGGTCGCCTTTCAGCATTATATTACCTACTGGACTCCTAAAAATGTGATCCTTGATAATTTTTTCAAGGGTTTTCCCAAGGATAGAGGTGAGACTAACTAGTCTATAGTTACCCAGATCCTTCTTCCTCCCCTTCTTGAAAATAGGGACCACACTGGCCCTTTTCCAGGTCTCTGGGAACTCACCTGAGCACCACGAGTGCTCAAACAGTCGTGCCAGTGGCTCTGCTATGACACTGGCTAATTCTTTCAGCACCCTTGGATGCAGCTTTCTCTTTCAGCCTTAACTTCTTACCTTCTTCCAGGTAAGAAGTTATAGGGAAGTAAAACATTACTCTTTGTGAGAATTATTTGTTTATAATATAATGAATCTTCCTGTTTCCAGGAGCATGCACAATACCCTGTTTGTTATACTAATGTAAAAGAAAACAACATCCCTGCCCCAAATGCTGTTCAGTCTTACTCTTCCAAACAGAAGTGGAAAAATAATTAGAAGGAGAACAGGGGTGGGGGAAGGGATACAGTAGGCAGGAAGATGGGCAGATGCTTAGCAGGTGTAAACCACTATGGACTTCCATATAAGCATACATTCATACCTCAGCTTAGGATTTGCCACAGCATGGTCAACTTGGCAACTGCTTCTGTCATGATCTATTTGCTCCATGCTAGTTTTTCCTGGAAGTGGGATATACAAGGCCAAAGGCCAGATTCCCTGCTGGTAATTAAATCCATTGATGTGACCTTATGCCAGCAAAAATGTTGAACCATACATTATCACCTTCATTCCTTGCCCACGTCTCTTTTAGTTGGCTAAAATCTTGTAGACTCTACTTATTGGCATTAGGTGGGATCTGAATATGGCCATGCAGATGAGTTCATGAAGGGTAGTGCATGCATACAGGCACAGAATATAAGTGGGGAGGGAGTGGGGGGAAGAACTTGGAATGGATCGAGGGCTCAAAGTTTCTATGCATCTTTTCAACTTTTAAAACCCTGACACTCTGTATTAGGTACCCTGCAAAAAGTTTTCTTTGGGTTTCTAGGGGGGGTGGGGGGGTTCAATTTAGTCTAATGAGAAGTTTCTCTACTTGCGGTAGTTGTCATTGTCTTAGTAATTCCCTCTACAGTATTATAGACTTCTTAAAACCAAGCAGCAAAATTGTCACCAACGACATTCCTAGGGACAGATTTCAGAACTGATCTCAGTGGCCCCTCTCTTAAGATTTTCGGGTCAGCCACATTTTTCAGCCACCAGAATTTTATAGTTTGTGAATTCGTGTGCAGTAGGTTAGCAAAATGTTTACATACGCTTCTGCCAACGCAGAGCCATCAGCTGAACTACCTCTATTTGGAAAAGATTCTGCCAGAAGTTTGAACTTATATTAATGGTTCTTAGACAGGGTGGTTCCTTATACCCATGGGTATAGTGATATCTACTCTTTTCAAGCAGTGCTCTGAGATCTTAAAAATGAAAGCCCTAGAAAAGTTCAGCCTTTACTTATACTAGTGTAAGTTAGAAAAGAAACCACTGAAATCAATAAAATTACAACATTGTAGATGAGAGCATGTAAATGTTGCTATAATATTTAAGTTGAAATGTGGCTTGAAAAGAGAATTTTTAAAACATTTTCCAAACCTACTGTTCTGTTTTTAAAATACATCCAAAAGCCTAATTCCTACACATAAATGCCAACATTTCTTTTGCAGCCCCTGATGCTCCCTACACCCACTGGAAGCAAACTGTCTTCTATTTAGAGGACTACCTAACGGTGAGGAGAGGTGAAGAAATCTATGGAACTATATCCATGAAACCAAATGCAAAAAATGTGGTGAGCCAACTTCACTGTTTATCATTTGCAAGCACAATGGAAGAAGTACTGTAGATGACAGTAAACAGAGCAAGTCTGTTAAGTGGTCTTAAACTCAGGTTCAGTCATCAAAATCCATTCCTAATCTCGTGAATGTGTATGCAAGTGGCTATGTTAATACAATGCTAATGTTGTAGGACTAAAATTGCAAAAAAT